AGCAAGTCCAATCACAAGTCTTTTCTGTGTTTAATATTTCCAAACTCTACAGGATAAACAGGGCACTTAGAAATATTTAGAACCAGCCCTAACCAGTGTGGCTTAGTGGGTTAGGTGTTGGCCTGAAAAGCAGAGGGTCACCAGTTCGATTCCTGGTCAGGGCACATGTGTGGGTTGCCGCCCAGGTCCCCGGTTGGGGGCATATGAGAGGCAACTGATCCATAGACATTTCTCTCCCTCTCTTTCTCCCTCCCCTCCCTGCTCTCCAAAAATAAATAAATAAAATCTTTTAAAAAATTTAGAACAGCGTAAATAAAATGAAGGAAAGAAAAAGAGAACATACACAAGTTCCGTCTTGCATTGGTGCAAATTGATCTTTGCTAGTTGACCAGAGGCCATGACCTGGAAGTTTAAAACTCATTTTGGAGAAATCTGTCAAGAAGTAAATTATGAAACTCATCAGGGGAAGTGAATTCCAACATCATACAAATTGCTTTCTCTGTGTGGCTAGTCGAAATAACCCAGTTCTTGTATGGAGTTTAGACATGTGTGGTGGTGGCAATTAGGATTCTTGTATTTCCTAAGGGCTGCTTCATTCCCTTTGTCCATTGTCATCTTATGGTTTTTAAACTTTGAAATGTCTTTCTGTGTTTCTTTTTTAGCCCCTGTGATCCGAATATGCCAAAACTGCATTAGTTGGGGCTTTGCTCTCTAATGAACCTGGTAGCCCACTTTTTAAAACAAGATGTTATTTATTCATTTTTAGAGAGAGGGGAAGGGATGGAGAAAAAGAGGGGGAGAAACATTGATTGGTTGCCCCTCGCAGGCGCCCCAACTGAGGATGTGGCCGGCAACCCAGGCATGTGCCCTGACCGGGAGTCAAATTGATGACCTTTCTGTTTGAGGGATGATGCCCAACCCACTGAGCCATATCAGTTAGTGATAGATCACTTAAAAAAAAAAGATTTTATTTATTTATTACAGGGGAAGGGAAGAAAAAGGAGGAGAGAAACATTGATGTGCACGAGAAATATCGATCAGTTGCCTCTTGCAGACCCCCGAATGGGGACTTGGCCAGCAACCCAGGCGTGTGCCCTGATTGGGAATTGAACCAGTGGTCTTTTGGTTCACAGGCTGGTGCTCAATCCACTGAATCACACCAGTCATTGCTAGATCACTTTTATAGCAGTCAACTTTCAAAACAGATTTATAGCCTGACATCCTCCCATTTCCAATCTCCTGTTCTTTCTCTTCTCCATCATCAGGATTCCAAACATTTCTTAGCCTTGTGTAGACCTTTATACCTTTACGGCTGTTATTGCCTGTTTTGAAATTTCTTAGTCCTTTGATTCCTGTGCCTTTTTGGGGGCGGGGGGTGAGTTGTGATTCTACTTCATTCCTGTATTTGCTGCACTGACAAACGCCCTTTCAAAGATTTCTGAATTAGTACTGCTGTTAAAGGATATTTCTAATCCTGTCCCTTATGTGCCCATTGAGAATAGATATGTCCTTTGTGATGTCTCCTTGCCTAGAATAAAATGATACATGGAATCAGAGTGTTTTTGGCATTTTAAAATAATATTTTATTTATTTTAAAAAATATTTTATTGAACTTATTGGGATGATATTGGTTAATAAAATTATATAGGTTTCAAGTGTACAATTCTATAATACATTATCTGTATATTGTATTGAGTGTTTACCACCCAATGTCAAGCTTCCTTCTGTCACCATTTATCCTTCCCTTTACCCTCTTCTACCTCCTCCAACCTCCCCAAAAAGGACATGTTAGTGTATGTGCTGCTGAAGTGAGTGCCTAAAAGGGTATTTTAAAGATATCTCTTGTGGCCCTGGTTGGTGTGGCTCAGTTTGTTGGAGTGTCATCCTGTACACCAAAATGTTGGGGGGTTCAATTCCTGGTCAGGGCAAAAGAAAAAAATATCTTTTGTTGCCCTTGAGCTTTTGATAATTTCATTTGTTTTCTCCACCTCAATTAAGATGGTCCATCCTCACTTACAGACCTTGCTGATTACTCTTTCTTTTCTTTTATAAACTCACTAAATCCTGAGGTAGAACTCACTCTCTAGGTCTTCCAATGTCAGGACCATTATTAAGGCTTAGTAATGTGCTGGTCACTCAGCTCTGGATGAGACGGGATGAAGAACAGAGAACTTGAAGGTAGTGAACATGGTGTTGGTCATCCATCAATCCCAGAGCTCTCAGCGTGCTTGTGAGTACTCTAGAAGGGAGACAATCTGGCTCTAGAAATGAGCACCAGCACCAGATTTCTACTGAGAAGTAGTGATCAAGATGTAGTAACTCTGCCCTTTCCAGGTAGAACTTTGCTTCTCAGGTGCCAGTTGGCTACACCTGTACCCAACCTTTCAAATTGTAGAGAGAATGGGGTCCTAGGATCCTGAACCCTGTGCTGCCATAGCTAGAACACTGTTAGGTCACTGAGGGAGATTTGTACACAGGAGACAGGCCTGGCAAAGTAGGAGTTCATCACTAGCTGGGCCTTGGCCTCAAACCCCTTTGTGAACTTGAGAGCCCTAGTGTGCTGTGTTGCTCTGTATAGAAGATTCTCTGTGCCTGACTCAGTGAACTCCATTTCCCTGGGCCCCTCTGATTCCTGCTTGGCTATCTAAGCGGTATAGGGGCATTTCTTCCCAACGTTGAAATGTTAAATTTTGCCTTGCTACATTAATTAGCCTCTAGGAAGAAGAGCCCGTTAGAGAAACCCTTTCTATGTAGGTTCACCTTTCAACCCATGTCTACCTATAAAGCAAGCTCCAATTAGTAGCACCTACTCAAGTCCTGGGACTTGACCTATATATGGGTACTTTTAGAAAATGTATTTAGAAATCTACTTCTCTGACATTTTCTTTTACTAGTTTTACTTTTTTCTTCCTTGGCTTATATGAAACTATATTCTTTTAATTCTTTTCTAACTTCTTTCTCTGCCTCTTTGTTTTACTGCTTCTAGCTGGTATGGGTGAGACCTCAGCTGTCTACATTTCAGATTTGTCTTTCTTAAGTCTTTATACTAACTGTAATTGACTTTGTGTATGGTGTGAGATGGCGATGATCCAGTTTTTCTTTTTCTTTTTCTCCCATATGGCTAACCAATTGCCCCAGTTCTAAATCTATACTTCCATTTTCTGGTACCTCTAAAAGCAGTTTTAGTTCAGTACATGTCAATTTTTCCTTCTCCAGGATCTTTGCACCTAAATTCCTTCTTTCTAAAATGCTCTTCCTTTTATTCTTTTTGGGCCAACAACTCTGGTTAAGATTGACCAACCAAAGACCAGTAAGAACGCAAACTGTAGAAAAAAAGAATAGGTGTTTTTAGTTTGCTGCTGCAAGAGAAACCATACTCCCTAGGACCTTGGGGTGTCTCAGAAAGAATGAGTTGAAAGGCACTCATAGGATTTGGGCTTATGTTGGGTGATCTTAAGAAGGAATTAGGGAAGCAGGAACCAGTTTTGGAATGACTGCTATCAAAGAGCAGGGGCATTTCTGCCTTTGGGTATCTTAGAATGACATAGAGCTGAGGATATTGTTGATGAGAAAGCAGCAGTAAGTCAAATAAAGGATCATTCTCATTTTAACAGCTTTGTATAAGACAGTTGTTTACATGGTCTTGTCCAGGTCCTGTTGGAAACGTAGTTCAAGTTTTGGTAGGACTATCCAGTCTGATTACCAGCCAGGCTGATAGCATCACTTTTTCTCACTTTTTATCCTTTGAATTAGGTCTTGGCTTAAATATTACCTTCTCAGTGACTCATTCTAGCCACTGTTGCTTATTTCTTTCCCTGTAATTATTTAATTTTATTTTGTCTGATGATTTGCCGTTTGTCTACTAGAATGCAAGATCTATGAGGGCAGGAACCACATTTTGTGTCTTTTCCATTAAAGCTTTAGTGCCAGGTGTGGGTCTGGCACATCATAGCTGCTCAGTAAACACATATGTATGAATAAATGAATGAATAAAAGAAAATTCACTTTAATAGTCTGACGAGTCTGCTAGTCTGCAGTTAAAGTCAGCTAAAAGCATATCCTCTGCAAGTAAGACAAAGCTGGTATGAGTGTGACGCACATAACAGGGCCCTTCGTAACCCTATGGCTTTTTGTAATTCTACTTAATTATAAAACTCGGGAAGACAGAATAAAATAAGATCTACCTAAGACTTTTACAATGAATTTTTATATATTATTTGAGATATGCTTTAGAGTATATGATATATATGCTAGAGTATATGTAACATATGTGAAACATAATAATCAAATATGTATTATAGGTATCTTAAAGTTATATATTATTGGAGTGTTAATTTGCATTTCTCTGATGAGCAATGAAGTTGAGCATTTTTTCCCATGTTTTTATTGGTCATTTGTGTTTCTTTGTGAAATGCTTTTGTATTTTTTAATATAATCTTTATTATATTTTTTTCACTTACCATTTAGTCCCCTTATAATTCCCTGCTTTTGTATTTTATTTGCTTATTTTTGTTTTGTTGCCTTTTTCTGTATGTTGGCTTGGAATCTATTTTGGATAAAACTCATTTGTTATGTGTTGCAAATATTTTCTTACATTTATTATTATTATTTTTATGCTGTCTTTGGATGTGCAGAAGTCCTTAATTTTAACATTGTTTAATGTATTTTTTATACTTAGCACTTTAAAAGACCCTCTTCTATCTTGAAATCATGACTGTTTTTTATTAAATGCTTTAAATGTTTACCTTTCATACTTAGATCTCTACTTGATCAGGAATTGATTTTTATGTATGGTGTGAGATAGGAATCCAGCGGGGTTTTTTTTATGTGGCTAATCGGTTTTTCCAGTATAATACATATGCTCAAGACTTATTTATATTTGCAGTTACAAGAGTGGAGGACATAGTCTCATAACAGTTCCTTTCTTGATCTTGATCTTGTACTATTTCTGTCTTACAGGTTTATTTTTTTGTAATTTTAAGTAAAATTCTGGAAGGACTATGAAGGATTATGATGAACTTCTCAAATACTATGAATTATATGAAACTATTGGGACAGGTAATTATTATTTTTTTTCTTGGGGAGATAGGCTAGATCAAGTGTTTGAGGGGATAGTGTATTTGGGCAGTCACAAGCTTTCTGGGCTAAACTACATAGTTTTAAAATTCTTCAACCTATTTAATAAGAAAAAAGTGGAGCAAGAGAGAGACGAATAGTCGGGGAGGCGTTATGAGTCATTTTATTTAGAATAAACATCATTGGGCAGTTCTGAGCCAAGGAGTGATCTGGCCTTTCTTTTTAGGGATCCTTCTCTCTGGTTGTGAAAAGATAGGGTAAGGGAGAGCAAGGGCAGACGAAGAGAGATGTTAGGAGGTTATTGTAGTAATTCAGGTGAACGATGCCAGAGATGATCGTGTCTTGGACAAGTGTGGTAGTAGAGCAAGTAGTAAAGGGTGGGATTCTGTATACAGACACACACGCATATACATATACGTGTGTGTATTTTGATTTATTGAGGTATAACACAATCAAAGATGCACAGTGCACTGATCTTGATGGAGTTTTACATACATATAAACCCCTATGCTTCCTGCTCACATCAAGAATATTTCCAAGTCAGTACCTTTCTTTTTTCCCCCAAGGTAACTAACCATTGATATATTTTGAAGACAGAGCCAATGAAATTTATTGATGGGGTGGGTGTGGGTTATGAGACAAAAGAGAGGGGCTAAGGATGGCCCCTGGGTTTTTAGGCCCAAGCGTCTGGGAAAATGGAGCTGTTATTTACTGAGATGGGGAAGACCATGAGAGGGACTACCAGGAGCTCCTTTTTAGAAATGTTAAGTTGGCATTTTCTTTTAGATATCTAAGTGCAGACATTTTCCAGCTTTTGATCCAGTTTTGAAACATAATTGTTTATCTTGACAGTTTTAAAACTGATTGGACGTTTCATATTATTTTTTGTGTCAGCAGCTTTACATTGTGTTCTAGCAATATTAACTATAAAGCAAATTTCTAGAGTGAATTCTCTTTTCCTACTTGTTCATTAAAATATTAAAGATACACTGGAGGACATATTTGACAATGAAACATGGGACACAGGTTTAATCTCCAAAATATGTAAAGAACTCAACACCAGGAAGACAAACAACCCAGTTAAAAATGGGCAAAGGACCTGAATAGATAGGTCTCCAAGGAGGATATACAAATGTCCCATAGACATATGAAAAAATGTTTAACACCACTAGCCATCAGAGAGATGCAAATTAAAACCACAATGAGACCCTGCCTCATACCTGTCAGAATGACCATTATTAATAAATCAACAAACAACAAGTGCTGTTGAGGATGTGAAAAGGGAGCCCTCGTGCACTGTTGGTGGGTGTGCAGACTGGTGCAGCCACTGTGGAAAACTGTGGAATTTCCTCAAAAAATTAAAAATGGACCTGTGTTATGATCCAGTGATTCCACTGCTGGGAATATACCCTAAGAATCTGAAACACCAATTCAAAAGAACATATGCACCCCTAAGTTCATAGCAGCACTATTTAGAATAGCCAAGTGCTGGAAACGGCCCAAGTGCTCATCAGTAGAGGAGCAGATTAAAAAACTGTGGTTCATTTACACAATGGAATACTACGCAGTAGAAAGAAAGAAGTCCTGCCTTTTGCAACAGCATGGATGGAACTGGAGACCATTATGCTAAGTGAAATAAGCCAGTTGGCAAAGGACAAATACCATATGATTTCACTTATAACTGAAATCTAATGAACAAAATAAACTAATGAGAAAAGTGGAACCAGAGACATGGAAACCTGGAACAGACGGATAGCTGAAGGAGCAGAGGGGGATTGCGGCGGGGGAATGGTGGAAGGAAGGGGAAGGGATTAGTCAAGGAACACGTAGGAATGACTCATGGATGTGGACAATGGAGAGGGATTGACTGTGGGCGTGAGGGGTGGGCTGGGTGGAGGGGGGCAAATGGAAAAAAATTGGAATAACTAATAGAATAAACAATACAAAAAATAAAAAAGATATACTATCATGGTAAGAAAAAAAAAGGTTCAGCTAGACATTGGATGAGGAGAGGTTCGGGTAATGGCTAACACTTTGGAAGCAGCAGGAAGGAAGAGACATAAACTTATTCAAAAGCATGGATAGAGAGCTTTTTAAAAGCGTATAGGACAGTATTTGTTTCTGAGTTCTCAGTTTGCTCTGTTGCTATTTAGGTCAGTCTTGCTCATCTTCATGATTTTCCTACACTTAGGTGGCTTTGCAAAGGTCAAACTTGCCCGCCATATCCTCACTGGAGAAATGGTCGCTATAAAAATCATGGATAAAAATGCACTAGGGGTAAGTTTAAAATTATTTAAAAAATATTTATAGATCAGTTTTTTGAATTAAAACTCATATTTGCTCTAATGTTCTAGTTACTCTTTTATTAGAATAATACTTATCTAGCTTTTTAAGAAGTAATCTGGGGGAAGGGGTCATTTTGTTCTTAATTTTAATGGAAGACAATGACGCATATTTGAAGCCTGTAGGATCCATTTTTCTACCCTTGTTTTGTGGTCTTGGAGGTGTTTCTGGATGTTAATATTTCTCTTCTTTATCTTCTCTTGACACTCTTACTCAGTGTTGCCTATTTTATAGTATAATGTAGGTCTTATGTCCTAGAAGTTTATTCAGAGTAACCTGAGGAGTCAGTTAAAGAAACCCTCCTTTCCTTGGTCAGGCTCTTCTTTCTGTAAGTGGACGCTTCCAGGAGTGGACTGGGCGTTACCTCCTCATGCAGCCCATTCAATTTCTGGTCTTAATTATAATATTCATAAAGTTTTTTGCTTTATATTAAGGGAAAATGTGTTTCTTTTGATGATCTTTATGGGTCTTTTATACCCTTCCCAGTGTTTGTATTCACCCTGAGTGAACCCTTTTTTTTAAATTCTGATTTATCATATGGTCTCATATGGTTTAGTTTCAACCAATAATTCAGGCTCTTCAATATTTTTGTTTATGCTCAATATTACATTTACTAAGTGAATAAAAGGCATTAAAAACCATTTTTCTTGAGTATTTAAACATTGACTGCAAATCTGATTATCTTAAGCGATTTAAACTTCACTTTCACCTTTAGTATGATTTAGTCACATAAACACTATAAGCACTTAAATAGCAAACAAATTGTGTATTGTCATTACAAAATGTGTTACCACACTGATATTCAAAACTCATTCTAAGCCCTAGCTGGGTGACTCAGTTGGTTAGCGCTTTGTCCCGATATGCCAAGGCTGCAGGTTCCGTCTTGTCAGGGTAACATAGAAGAATCAACCAATGAATGCATAAATATGTGGAACAATAAATTGGTATTTCTCTCTCAATTAAAAATGCATTAATTTATTTCTAAACTTTGAATATTTTCTGTTATACTTATTTTAGTTACTTCCTAGGACTTGAATGATATTTTGATTACTTCCAGGGTCTTAGTCATCAGACTCCCACTCCCCCCAAAAAGAGAAAAATAAGATTATCATCCTAGAATAACCATTGATTCTTGGCCAAGACTTGATATCTAGTTGCACAGTCCTAGATAATTAGATCTAAAGCCACTGATGGTTAGATTGAATCCATTTTTATAATGAAGTTTTACATGTTACTTCATGGGTTTCTAGATTTCTGTCTTTAATATGGATTTTGAAATTCTTTCAGCTTGGCTTATCCTCCTCCTTCCTAACCAGCCTTTTATTTTGAAAAATTTCAAGCCCCTAGAAACATTGGAAGGTTGAGACAGTAAATGCCCTCATATCTTTCACCTACATTCACTGATTTTTAGTTCAGCATGCCTCTTATGAAACATTGCTAAGAATAAAAGTGATAGCTCAGGCATGCATACTTAAGTAGTGTTCCTGTCATTTCCTTGTTTGGAAGGCTAACCTTCTAAGGGAGTTTGAGATTTTAAACATTTTTCTAGACTTTGTACTATTGACCCACATTGAACTTTTCTTTCATAAAACCCTCAAGGCCTTTTTTTATGTCCGTACAAATAAGTTTTATATATTTTTTGTATTGTTGAACAATTTGAGGCTGGTGATTGCTTTTGCTATTCAGTGTTAAAGCTATTGATGTTGATGATTGAAACACTTCCCACATTGGTTTAATGAATATTTAATACAATATTTTGTCACAGAGTGATTTGCCCCGGATCAAAACAGAGATTGATGCCCTGAAGAACCTGAGACATCAGCATATATGTCAACTCTACCATGTGTTAGAGACAGCCAACAAAATATTCATAGTTCTGGAGGTTTGTAGTATGTTCAGAGACCTAAAGTATTTATTCACTGTCTTTGTTTGAGCTACTGTAACACATACCACATACTGGGAAGCTTATGAACAAAAGAAATTTGTTTTTCACTGTACTGGAGACTGGAAATTCCAAGATCAAGGCACCAGTATGGTTGGTTGAAGCCTCTCTTCCTGGTTCAGAGCTGGGGCCTTCTTGCTGTGTCCTTACATGGTAGAAGGGGCAAGGGATCTCTTTGGAGCCTCTTTTTAAAAACAATTTTAAATTGAATTTACTGGGGTGACATTGGTTAATGAAATTACATAGGTTTCAGGGCTACAGTTCTATGCTATATCATCTGCATTGTGTGCTCACCACCCCAAGTCTAGTCTTCTTTCATCACCATTTATTCCTTCCTTTACCCTCTCCTACCTTCTTCCACTCTCGAGAGTCTCTTATAAGAGCATTGATTTCATTCATGAGAGCATCATCCTCATGTGCTAATCACCTCCCAAAGGCCACCTCCTAATGTCATATTTGCGGGTTAGGATTTCAACATAAGAATTTTGGGTGGGAACAAACATTCACACCATATCCATTCACTTTATCAGTAATTAAGAGAAAAGTACATTTCACCTGAAAGATTAGAGTAAATATTAAGTGACTTACCTGTTTGACCTCTATCTATAAAAATTTAGATCAAGTAGACATATATAATAAATTGGAAATTCATTATAAACATACCCTTTCTAGTGCACTCCTCATGGGGAGGTGTGGGTTAACGGACAGGATACGTTAGAATTTGTTCCGAGGGGGAAGAGTTTATTTCAGTTTATATGGCATATTAATCTAGGGCTGCTGTAACAAATTACACATACTTGGTGGTTTAAAACCATAGAAATTTATTGTCTTAACGGTTCTGGAGGATAGATGTCTAAAATCAAAGTGTGGGCAAGATTCTTTCTGGAGAAACTCTTCTTTGCCTCTTTGCTAGATTTTGATGATTACTGGTAATCCTTGGCATTCCTAGGCTTATAGATGCATCACTCTATTTCTGCCTGTCTTCAAACGGTCCACCCTAATCCAATATGACCTCATTTGACTTGATTACATCTACAAAGAGCTTATTTACAAATAAGGTCATGATTACTGGTACTGCGTGATAGGGCTTGAACATTAAACATATCTTTGGGGAACACAGTTCAGCTCACAGCCTTTAGGTAGCCTTCAAGGCATGTGTTATATGAACAAATTCTTTTAAGATTTAACCTTCCCTTTTTGGCTTGAAGCATCAAGTCTTTAGAACGTGCGTTATTCATCTCTTGTTTCCTTTTCCTTAGTCTCAGCCAAATAATTTGTAACTACACATCATTTTCACAGATTAGCCTGCTTTAAAAGCACATTTTAAAATTCGTAATGCTGAAAGTTTTGGACTGAGAACCATTTTCTTCTTATTACACTGTAGATCCACTCACATGGTCAACAGTGGTGATTTTACAGCCTTTTTTGAAAAGCTGATCCCTTTGTCCAAATTAAATACTTAGAAAACAAAACAAAACAAATAAAAAGGCTTCATGAACGTAGGACAAAATTTAAAAGGTGTAAGAGAATATATATTAAAAAGTAAAATTCTCTCTCCCCTGTATCCCAGTCCTCCAGTTTTCTTGTGTTTCCTATAGCTTTTCTGTGCACTTAAAAATACCTGTGTGTGCATGTGTATATTTTTGCTGCAGAGCAGACTTCCCTTGCACGAGTTCATTTTTTTCTTAAGTATATTGTATTGATTATGCTATTACAGTTGTCCCATATTTTTCTCCCCTTTATCCCCTCTGCCCAATACCCCCATTCCCTCCAGCGTTCCCCTATCCTTAGTTCATGTCCATGGGTCATACATATAAATTCTTTGGCTTTTCCATTTCCTATACTATTCTTAACCTCCCCCTGTCTATTTTGTACCTACCAATTATCTTTCATATTCCCTGTACCTTTTCTCCTGTTTTCCCACCTTCCAATCCCCGCTGATACCCCTCCATATGATCTCCATTTCTGTGATTCTGTTCCTGTTCTAGTTGTTTGCTTAGTTCGTTTTTGTTTTTGTTTTTTTAGGTTCAGTTGTTGATAGTTGTGTTTGTTGCCATTTTACTGTTCATAGTTTTGATCTTCTTTTTCTCAGATAAGTCCCTTTAACATTTCACATATTAAGGGCTTGGTGATGATAAACTCCTTTAGCTTTACCTTATCTGGGAAGTACTTTATCTGCCCTTCCCTTCTAAATGATAGCTTTGCTAGACAGAGTAATCTTGGATGTAGGTCCTGGCCTTTCATGACTTTGAATACTTCTTTCTAGCCCCTTCTTGCCTCTAGGGTTTCTTTTGAGCATTCAGCTGATAGTCTTATGGGAACTCCTTTGTAGGTAACTCTCTGCTTTTCTCTTGCTGTGTTTTAAGATTCTCTCCTTATCTTTAATCTTGGGTAATTTAATTATGATGTGTCTTGGTGTGTTCCTCTTTGGGTCCAACTTCTTTGGGACTCTTTGAGCTTCATGGATCTCTTGGAAGTCTATTTCCCTTGTCAGACTGGGGAAGTTCTCCTTCATTATTTTTTCAAATAAGTTTTCAATTTCTTGCTCTTCCCCTTCTCTTTCTGGCACCCCTATGATCTGGATATTGGGTCGTTTAAAGTTTCCCAGAGGTTCTAAGCCTCCTCACTTTTTTGTATTCTTGCTTCTTCATTCTGTTCTGGTTGAATGTTCATCTCTTCCTTCTGCTCCAGATTGTTGATTTGAGTCCCAGTTTACTTCCCTTCATTGTTGGTTCCTTGTATATTTTTCTTTTTTTCACTCTGTGTAGCCTTCACTTTATTTTGCGTCCATATTCAACCATTTCTGTGAGCATCCTGATTACCAGTTTTGAACTCTGCATCTGATAGGTTGGCTATCTCTTCATCACCTAGTTCTTTTTCTGAAGTTTTGATTTGTTCTTTGATTTGGGCCATACTTCTTTGTCTTGGTGAGCATGTTATGTCGTAAGGGGTGGAGCCTTGGTTATTTTCCAAGGTGGGGCAACCCACTTTGCTGTGTGGGGAAGGGGTCAGAGAGGGAACAATGCTGCTTGCTTAGCTCTCGCCCCACTTTCAGTCTCTTCCTCTGCTACCCACAAGTGAATTGTACTCTTTGAGGTGCTGCCCTGGTGGTGATTGCTGGGTGGATGGGCTTGTGTATGTTCTAGGACCCCAGGATCCTCTCCAACGGACTCTCCTGTGAGACTGGCAGTTTCTCCCACCACTGAAACCCCCCAGGTTTTTACCTCCAGAGGTTTCGAGGCTTTCTTTCCCCGCACTGGAACCCTGGGTTGCACAGTCTGTCTCACTCTCCCATTGTTCCTCCTGGTTTATTTGCACGCAAATGTGGGACTGCTGGGTTCACCAGCCACCACCTTGCTACACGGCCTCTCTGCCCCGGCTGCCCATCTCTGTCCCTCCTACTGGTCTGGATGAATGTTTCTTCTTTAACTCCTTGGTTGTCAGACTTCCATACAGTTTGATTTTCTGGCAGTTCTGGTTTTTTGTTTTTAAATTCGTTGTCCTTCTTTTGGTTATGTGAGGAAGCTAAGAGTATCTGTTATGCCTCTATCTTGGCTGGAGGCTACCTTTTTTCCTTATTTATGTTGTATACATATGTGTGTGTTGTTCATTGGTTTTTATCACACAAATGGTCACATACTATATTATTCTGTACCTTGTGTTTTTTTTCACCACTTAACATTTTAGCTTGGAGACCATCTATATACATTTATAAAGATTTTTTATGTTTTTGTTTCAGTTTCTATTTCTTTATTTGAAAATGTAAAGTAGACTTTTTAATGTCAATCTTATTGGATAGCATTGGAAAAGTTGATTATTGAGGTATAATTTTTATATGATAAAATACACACAAGTGTACAGTTTGAAAAAGGTACACATCTGTGTACTTCCCACCCCAGTCAAGGAAGAAAACATTTTTATCTCACCAGGAAGTTTTTTTCCGACTCTTTGGTGTTAATCCCTGTAACCCCACCTGCCTACCGCTCTTCTCAGCAACAAGTGATCTGATTTCTGTCACCATATATTAGTTTTACCTATGCTAGAACTTAATGTAAATAGAATCATACAGTCTGTACTCTTGTGTTTGGCTTCTTTTGTTCAGCAGAATGCTTTTTGTAAGTCACCATATCAATATATACTCTTTTACATCTTTTTTCACTTAATACTGGAGATTGTTTTATATCAGTTCGTAAAGAGTGTCCTCTCTTTTTTAATGGCTACATAGAATTCTGTTTTACACCAGTGCCATAATTTATATAGTGTGAACATATTTTGGTTGTTTCCAGTCTTTCGTTGTTACAAACAGTGCTACTTCAGTGAACGATCTTGAATGTGTGTTGTTTTTATTATGAGAGTATATCTTTAGGAACAATTTCTAAATGTGGAACTAGGAGGTCAAAGGCCATATACTATAATAACTATAATTTTAATTGGTACTGCTAAAATGAAATGAAGTCTTAAATGGAAACCCCAGTTTACAGAAAAATAGAGCTCCTTGGAGGAGAAGGGATGGAAAGCCTAAAGCTTTGTGCTCTGGTATCTATTCTCCACAACCTCTGAGGAGCCTCTGTGGAACTGGGCTCCTGGTACAGACTTAAAATCACTGGTCTTTGGGATGCGGAAGCAATAATTGCTGAAGGTTTTTTTTTTCCTTTCAGGTAACTACACTAAATGTGAGTGCCTTAAGATGAGAATGGGTTTTAGTTCTTTGCCATACAAAGTATTAAACTCTGAATGAACTTAAAAATGACAGTGGTAGTTGTTTTTACTTCTATTTACTGGTGATGAAACTGCTTGAGAGCAAGAGCTATTGTTCTTTCCTGGAATAACTGTTGACTGGTTTGATCCTGAGAGTGTATTTTTCAATATGCCTCACTCAGTTCCCTTGCTTATAAGTTTAATTAATATCTCTGAGTGAAGTGAGATTTTTTATTTAAATTCCTCTGAGGTGAGTTTTGTAAGTAGTAACACTATCTGTATGACTCTGTTGCTGTTGAAGTATTGCCCTGGAGGAGAGCTGTTTGACTACATAATTTCCCAGGATCGCCTGTCGGAGGAGGAGACCCGAGTTGTCTTCCGTCAGATCGTCTCTGCAGTTGCTTACGTGCACAGCCAGGGCTATGCTCACAGGGATCTCAAACCAGTAAGTGACTGAGTCACAGTTAGATAGTTACCTGAGAGTTCAGCATCATTTATTTGTTATTACTAGGTTTTTTCTGTTTAGAATCTATCTTTTTAAAAATTCTTGATTTTAGAGAGAGGGAAAGGGAGGGAGAAAAAGAGGGAGAGAAACATCTATTGGCTGCCTTCTGTGCATACCCTGACTGGGGACTGAACCTGTAACCAGGTGTGTGCCCTGACTGGGAATCAAACCGGTGGCCCTTCGGTTTGTGGGCAGACACCCAACCAACTGAGCCATGAGCCACACTGACTGGGCTCGAATCTGTCTTTGCTTTTTCTCCGCCCACTGTAATATATCCCTGTCCCCCTCCTTTTGACTTCTAGTAGGCTTTTCTTAATGAACTTATTATTGACATTCTATTTATCTTGCCAATTGGGTGTGACATTATAAATGTCTTTGTAATCAGCCGTGGAATATAAACATCAGGATTTTATCTCTAGGAAAAAAAGAGTTTTAAGTATTTTTCATTCAGTACTCTTTCTAACCCCATCTTCCTTTAATTTTAATTTCATTATGCCTCAGAAAGGAACAGTTCAATGCATGGACTGACTGTACTTTTTTTTCTTTTAAGACTTCATTTATTTATTTTCAGAGGGAGGGAAAGGGAGGGAGAAAGAGTGAGGGAGAAACATTGGTATGAGAGAAACAGTGATCAGTTGCCTCTCACATGCTCCCAACTGGGTACCTGGCCTACAGCCCAGGCATGTGCCCTCACTGGGACTTGAACTGGTAACCTTTCAGTTCGCAGGCCAGTGCTCAACCCACTGAGCCACACCAGCCAGAGCAACAGACTGTGCTTTTCGAGGACAGAATAAAAATGTGAATACTTTTTTAAGTCTGCAGGCTCTGACTAATCTGGATGCTGGTGAACATAGATTTACTGTTGCTTGGTACCAGGGTCAGGGACCTAGAAATGGTCCAACAGGATATGGCAGTGTCATTGTCCTTTTCCTTCTTACACTCAACCGTTTGATTTGTGCTCACTCATTTGGTTTAAATTTGCGTTTAGCACACACTCTTTGCTTGTCGTTGAACCTCAGACCACCAAGAAGAAAATCGTCCACGCTAATGTGCTTTGAGGGAGAGCGGGATAGTTGTCAATATTTCTCCCCTCTTCTTTTATATACTTTCTGTAATTTCATTCTTTTTAAAAACGATTTTCACTCTATTGTACTCAGGTGTCTAAATATAAAAACTTTAAATCATTTTTAGAAATGGCTAGAGGAGGAATGTGTTATAAGGAAGTCATTATTTAGTTATGAAAATATCTTCATTTTTCCAGGAAAATTTGTTATTTGATGAATATCATAAAGTAAAGCTGATTGACTTTGGTCTCTGTGGGAAACCCAAGGTAAGTGCAGAAATAAAAACGTATTTGTTTCCTTTCTAAATGCACATTAAGGTGTGTTATTTTGCACTGACTTCCACTAAGTGTTTCTTGCATGTGCCCTGAGCAGGGATCAAACCCTCAGCCTTGGTATATTGGGACGACACTCTAGCCAACGGAGCTACCCGGCCAGGGCTTCCACCAAGTGTTTTTTGAGCCTGGTTGCATCCCTTGAGAAGAATGTTAAATTTCATTCCTTTTATAAGTTCTCTAAATGACTCTAATAGATGGCCAAGATAGAGAACCACCGTTCTAGGTCCAGCCTTGGTCCTGCGGGAGACCCCACGGGCATGCTGTGAGAGAATGTGCCGTGCTGAGGTGACTCAGGGCCCTCACAGCATGAATGTTGAACTGATCGTGTGTTTGCAGTTTGAGTATATTGCCACTAGACTATACCTTTGTTTACATGAGTTTTGGGGATTTAGTGTAAATCTGTTCTTTGTTATCCAAATGGTTATTTAACTAACAGTTACATTTTGAGAGAGAGCCCCCTTTCCTTGTAAAAGTAAGAAGTTCGCATGTTCTTTTAAATTTATACTGTTAAATATTTTCTTAATTTCCATAGTTGAGACTGGCATTTTCCAGCATGCGTTCTCTTTGAGGTGACTTTGAACTTTCCACCTCTGCTGTCTGCAGCAGAGCTCCTGTGTGGCTGCCTGTTGGAGGCTTTCTCTAATGATGGCACTCACAGTCTCTAAAACGAGCTGTTTACACTCATTAAGAATGTTGAAATTGCAGACCTGTGTAGTCCCATGATTATTTTCTGCCCCAATCAGAATTAGCTAGGTGCACAGGGAATCAGATTTTGCCCTTTTGGCTGAATGTCTGATTCTTTCTGATTTTTCTCTTCTTCCATTGGTTCTTCAGAGTTGTCATTGGAGCCTTGTGTCTGGGTACCCAAATGATAGAAGGTGTTTTTTTTCATTGGCTGGTATATAAAGATAAAACTGAGCAGAGAAACTGGTTTAAGTCATGTTCTCCACAGGAGGCAGTGGAGGATGTTTGTGACAGACTCCATTACCCTTTGCTCACGGCTGACACAGGTTGATACACTCTGGCACCATCTGCAAAAGCAGGGGCTGGCCGGGAGAGGAGTGCCTCAGCCCTCTGCCGAGCGGCTCCCTTCTGGCCATGTTGCTGCAGTTGTAAATGAAGCCTTGCAATTTCACAAGTAATTTGCCAGTTGTAGACCTCTGTACTACAAGTGTTGGGCAGTAGTATCATTTTCACTATGTTTTAATATTTCTGTTGAGGAGCGGAGGAGGTTGAGCAGGTTCCTCATTTTACTGGATCTGGAAGCTTAGGTTGTGACTGGTGTTAAAAGTGAGAATAGAAATCAGACTCCCAAGGTGTTGTTCTATGTAGCATATTGCTCTCTTCCCTCTAAGAAAAAAGAAAGCTCCTTTACATTTACAGTAAAGGTTGATATTGGAGATAGGATTCATGAAAGAAATTATCTTTTTTTCCTTGAGTACTGGGGGTTGGGAAGACGTGAGTGCTTGGATGTATGCTAAGCAGATTATTATGCAAATGGGTGTGTAGGGAAATATGAACCTGGTTTGACTGAGCTGAGGGGGGAAAAAGATTTTGTTTGTGCCAGGTTGTAGTGCTATTGGAAATCCAGAGAAGATGAAACCAATGTGCGTGCATGCATGTAGGCAGAGAGTATTGGGTTGGCCCCAGAAGTCTTTTACTGTTTGGGGTAATTCTTCATTTAGCGTTTTACGTGTGCTGAAAGATTTAATTCTCTTAAGGGCTGTAATTAATGTGTTTCATTTTTATCTTATTGACAGGGTAACAAGGATTACCATCTACAGACATGCTGTGGGAGTCTTGCTTATGCAGCGCCCGAATTAATACAAGGCAAATCGTATCTGGGATCAGAGGTAATTATTTATTGGTTAATTCAATACATAACCAATGTATATTTATTGATTACCTGTAGTGCGTCAGGCACTGTGGATTGGGGATATAATGATGTGGTAAGAAGTAATCTTGTTAATTAAAGAGTTCAGGTTATTCAGAGAGTGAGATATATAAAGTAATAAATGAAATGAACAGCTTGTAATAAATATACTAATACATAATATGCGTATGAAGCAAGGATATATTTCTGGAGTCCTTGCTGTGGTTGCTTCTGTGTTAAACAGTGCCATAGTTAAGACTGCTTATTTCAGCCAGGTAGAGCACAAGGGCAGGGTTGCAGGCTCAGTTTTCAGAGATGCTGGTTAGCACAGAAAAAAATCTTCACTTTGTCCATAGCCAGCTATTCAAGGCCAGAAGACCTAGTCATTGCCTCCTTTACCACTAGCTGCTGCAAGCCGATCAGCCCCTTTCATTTTCTGGAGTGCTAATTTTGCCGATACTAATATCATAAGAAAGGTTTAGTTATCAAAAACTCAGGAAATGCTGGCCAGGGTACACAGTTTTCTTCAGTTCAGGACATGTCTACATCTTTGATATGTTCTTGTACAGGGTGATCCTTTGGGAGGGGACCATCACAAATAGCAGTTGGTCTCAATTTTGCCTGCCTACAGAATCCACTTTTTATATAGAGTATCTTTGGAGCCAGTGTTGTATGGGAGAAACTTTGAAATATGCCAATTTACTTAATTGATAACAGTAAGATGGGAACTAACTTGTTGTAGGAGACTTTTTATTTGCATATAATCTCAAAGAATAGGAGCCAATATGGAATGAGAAACTTCTGTATATATTTACTCAATTTCACAATTGTTTACATCTTTTCCTATTTGCCTTATTATCTTTCTCTATATTTATACATATGCACACTGTTTTTTGAACCATTTGAGAGTGAGTTGGAAACATACCCCTTTATTGTTAAATACTACATATATGTTTCCTACAAGCAAGGACCTTCTCTTTTATAACTGTACTTTAGCTGTCAACATCAGGGAATTTTACATTTGATGCAATTTATTTAATCTACAATTCATATTCAAATGGTATCAATTGTACCAATAATGTTTTTTATAGCTATATTTTCCCTCCAGTCCAGGATTCAATTTAGGCTCATGTATTTAGTTGTCTTGCTTCTTTGATCTTCTTTAATCTGGAAGAGTTCCTTAGGCTTACCTTTTTTTTTTTTGATAAAAAAAATTTATTGACCCCATGTCTTGGTAGTGTGGCCTAATGTATGTAGTAGGTGTCCTGTAGGGTCTAGTGGCAGAGCCTCCCTTATTGCCCAAGCTGAGTACTTGAGGAGTGCTCTTTTTGTGAGTTTAGTACACCCCCCTCTTATAGTTGAGGCTTGGTTGCTTGGTTACTGTTGGCAGTCAGCTGCAAGGATTGACCGTGACCACTTAACACCAACTTCCACCCTTTGTAGAGGATCAGCTGTGTGGGGCAGGGTGGTGGTTCTCTGACGTGGTCTGTAGCTGTCCACTGTGTGTGTTGGCCCTGGGGTTTCCTGGGTGGTGCAGGCCAAGGTCATCCCTCATCAGCATTTTGCACAGGGCCACCCTGCCTGAGTTATAAAGCAATCTAGATGGCTGTTACTCATGCTGGGCTTGGAGATTCCCAGGCGAAGCCAAGCTGTGAATCTAGGCTGGCTGCTGCTAGTGCTATGCCTGGGACCCCTTAGGAAGAGGTACTGGGGCTGGGGGCTCACTGAGGCCAGCTGTTGAGTGTTTGAAAGGATTTAGCAAGTTTTGAAGCTCGAGCCAAGACCAACCATTCATATGGAAAAGCCGCTGTTAACAGGTGTAAGTTGGGTGGGACTGAGCCTCAGGATTTCCAGGGCAGGGCAAACAGTGTTGGGGTTGATGGGTTGATGGAGTCTCAGATATGGGACCAACCTGTTGGCTCTGTGGCTGTGTGTGGGGTAGGTTCAGACAAGGGACAATGGTCTCTACCCACTTTTCTTCCTGGGAGAAAGCTGTCTATCTGCTCTTGCCTTGGTGCCAGACAGTTCACTTCCTCCATCTATGCCGCCTGGTGCCTTTCAAGCTGCTACCCTGCTGCTTGAGCGAGCTCAGAGGGAGTGAGTCGGAGTAAAACAATGTGTGGGTTCTTTAAGAGGAACTGCTTAGGATTCCAGAAGTTTCTTCCACTGTGTCAATCCCTGCTGATTTTTGCAGCCAGAAGTTATGGGGACTTATCTTCCTGGTGCTGGAACCCTGGGCTGGGGGGCATGGCTTGTGGCTGGGACCCCTCACTCCCAGGATATCCCTCCTGAATTTTTATCCACCACACATGGATATGGGATCAACCTGTTCTGTGCCTCCACTTCTCCTACCAGTTTGCATAGATGTGGTTTCTTTAATTCTGTAGTTGTCAGACTTCCATTCAACTTGATTTCTGATGGTTCTGAGTCATAGTTGTTCTATAGTTTAGTTGTAATTTTGATGTGGTTATGTGAGGAGGTGAGCGATGTTTTCTTATGCTGCCATCTTGACTGGTAGTCGTCGCCATAACATAAAATCTTAACCATTTTTAAGTGTACAGTTCATTAATGTTAGGTACATTCATATTGTTGTGCAACCAATCTCCAGAGCATTCATATTATAAAAGTTTTTATTTTGCAAAACTGAAACTATATGCATTAAACAGTTACTCTTCATTTCTCCCTTTCCCCTACACACGGCAATCACCCTTCTACTTTCTTTCTCTATGAATTTGAGTAGTCTAGGTGTCTTGTATAGTAGAGTTAAACAATATGTGTCTTTTTGTGACTGGGTTATTTCACTTAGCATAATATCCTCAAGGTTCATCCATGCTGTAGCATGTGACAGGGTTCCCTTCCTTTACGGTTGAGTAATTTGCCATTGTATGTATATATCACGTTTTGTTTATTCTTTCTTCCATGGATAGACACTGGGATTGCTTCCACTGCTTGGTTATTGCGAATAGTGCTAATAGTAACAAATACCTCTTTGGGACCTTGCTTTCACTTACTTTGGATAAATACACCAAAGTGGAATGGCTGGATCACATTGTAATGCTATACTTTAATTTTTTGAGAACAGCCATACTGATTTTTATAGTGACAGCAACAATATACTTTCACACAACTGTGCAGAAGGATTCCACATGCTGGATACTTTTTATATTTTTATTTAAGCCCCACAAAAATCCTTTGAATGAATACTGTTGCTCCATTTCATCATATAAAGAAAATGAAGAAACTGAGACACAGAAATTAAAATGCTTTCACAGGGTCACACAGCTAGTAACTCTGGGCCAAGATTTGAACTGAGTGAGGCTTTACTGCATACCTGTACTCTTGCCACTGTTTCATCCAGTTGTCTGGAAGAAGTGATGATCATAGGCCTAACGCTCACAAGATTCCTCGGCGACTGTGAGATGGCCCTCCTGGTTTGAATGCATCTGAGATTTTCCTGTAGTATCTTTAAATTGTTTTCTTGTCTATTTTAGTCTGTCTGTCTGCCTTCCTTCCTCCCTCCCTCCCTCCCTTCCTTCCTTCCTTCCTTCCTTCCTTCCTTCCTTCCTTCCTTCCTTCCTTCCTTCCTTCCTTCCTTCCTTCCGTAAAAAAATTGCTGCCCTTCTTACCTCTTAAAATTTCTCTGAGGCTCAAAGGAGAGTGGGAGCTGTGACTTCTTAGCCAACAGCAGCATCATTATTGACAAAGGCCAAATACTGCTTGTATAAGTAGTTAGCGCTTAGGACTCATGGGACACATGGATATCTTATATAAAGGTTAAGCTCCTTTCTGGGATTTTGAGATTTGTAGGGCTGTTTGTGCTGGCAGACTCATTTCTAGTCTCTGTATTTGAAAAGTCAATTGTTGAACTTTATTAAGGTTTCTCTACAAAGAGAGGACTTTACAGTGCAGCTTATCACATTTGCAGATTATCAGTAGCAAATTTTAAGACTTGTTTTGACATCCTCATGTGTATTTACATAACCCTCATGTGTAATAAACCTCAGTAGCAGTGTAGAATTATCTTTCAGAATCAGAGACCTGGCCTCCCTTCCTTTCTTATTGTGCCCAATCCAGCTCAACCAACTGGAAATTATTTTAATAAAGCGTTAGAGTCCAGTGTTAGAGGACAGTGCACTGAATTGGATATGAGGTGATCTACCTGGGTGGCCTAGGTGACTTTGGATAAGCCTTCCTTTCTGGGCTAAGTCCCCTGTCTGTTGAATGAGCAGGTTTAATTGGATGATCTCAGAGATCTTTTCTAGATCTGAAGATTCTGTGATTCTATTATGTGTACTCAGATATGTTCTAAATTTTTTTTTGGAATTACTATTTTTTTTCTCCCTCTCAGGCAGATGTTTGGAGCATGGGCATACTCTTTTATGTGCTTATGTGTGGCTTTCTACCATTTGATGATGATAATGTTATGGTTTTATACAAGAAGATTATGGTGAGTACTCCAAGGTGTAAATTTCAATGTAAAAGTTTTCTATATAGCATGTTAAATGCTTCTGTTTATAAAAGTACAAAAACAGGGAAAGGTCATCTATGGTATAAGAAATCAAAATAGCGTTACTCTTTGGGGTGTGAAGTGACTGAAAGAGGGGTATGGGGACTTCTGTTTCTTGATTGGGGTGCTGGTGATACTTACATATTCAGTTTTGGAAAACTTACTGAGGTATATCCTTATGAGATGTGTACTTTTCTATATGTACATAATATTTCTTCAATAAAAAGCTTAAAAAAAAAAACCCAAACAAATGGGGAAGTAAACCTATAAGATGATTTTCCTGGTAAGAATTTTTGTTTTTTATCCTGAAATGATACTTTAGTCAGTTGTTGTGTAAAATCACCTTTTCCTATGGTAAAATAAGAGAAACTGTTTCTTTTTGAAGGTAAAATTTGGCATTAAGATATAATAAAATCACTGTTAGCTTTGTTAAAATCATATATGTAGAAAGTAGTTTTGTGGTTGTGGGCTGGGGGTGGAGCAACAGTGGAGAGTTACTGCTTATGGGTATGGGATTTCTATTTATGGTGATGAAATCATTCTGGAATTTAGATAGTGATGATGGTTGCACAACTTTGTGAATGTACTAGAAAACATTGATTTGTGCACTTTATTTTTAAGATTTTATTTATTTTTAGGGAGGGGGAGGGGGAGGAGAAAGAGAGGGAGAGAAACACCAATGTGTGGCTGCCTTTTGCACGCCCCTCACTGGGGACCTGGCCCACAACCCAGGCATGTGCCCTGACTGGGAATTGAACTGGTGACTTGTTTGTAGGCCCATGCTCAATCTACTGAGCCACACCAGCCAGGGCTGACTTTTACACTTTAAAAGGGTGAATTGAATGTTGTATGACTTACGCCATTCAATTTAAAAAAACCCAAATTGTATATAGCAAGGAAAATAGTAAAATTCTTTTTAAAGAGTTAATATTCAGATCAAGCTAGCAAAAGAAGATATGCAAAGATGAAGAAAGAGCACCATATTTTGTCTGTAGCACACCAGGTTCAGATCAGCACAGCAGCTTCTCTGAGTATAGCTTGAATTTAGTTCTGTTTAACAAGTATTTCCTGCAGGTCTTCTTTGTTTGAGATACTGAAAAGCATGAACAAAGGTCTATGAAAATTGTTTGTTGTGCACCAGGGCCTGCATTCATGTTGGAGACAGATCCAAGGCTATCTGTTTCAAAAGAGCAAAGGGTTAGGGATGCCATATTATAACGGAGGTATAAACGAAGTTAATACAGGAGCTAGCATGGGATTTGGGAGGATGTGAGGTTTGAGCAGGGCTTTAAAAGAAGGGTAAAACTGCTTCAGAAAGGGATGGAGGAGAAAGCATACCTGGTAGAGTAGACAGTGTGAGCAGAGGCATAAAATGAGAGAAGCGTGAGGAGAAATGGTTAAGAGGTTTTAATATGGTTAGACCATTGGGTCTGTAACACACTTTAGGTAGGGAGACTACCTAAATCAATTCTCATTTCTGGAAAGTTGCACAGAAGTTGAAAGTGGTGTTTCAGGTGGCCCATTGCCTACCTGATAGAAGTCTAAGAGCATTATGTTCAATCTTCAGTTTTTAACATTTATTTGGCTTAATAGTTTTCCTGTATCCTACCCTGGGAATTGCAGTAAGAAATTTTGCTTGATATTCATGTAACCAACATCATAGTCAGAAGTGTTAACCTAAAAATAAAAGGCCAAAGTGAAAGGTTACCAGCATTCATTTGAGGTTAAAAAAGAATAGCTATTTGGGAAGTATGGATTGAAGCAGAAACCCAGGTACTACTCTAATTAGGAGACAAAGGCAGGGGGTATTTATTAGAAAGGGAATGGGAGCAAGTACATCAAAGAAGGAAGGCATTTCTATTGGTGCAGATAAGCTAATATAGTGATGCTGATTCTAAACAATATTTTTAATTCTAAGTCTGGTAATCATCAGTCTAGTTGTCATATTTCATGTTATACTTGCAAATATACTTGCAAATATAATATGATTTGCTCATGGATGGGATGAGGAGAGTAAACTGGGCAACTTGAAATTTGGAGCTGCTATCAACTGAGATGGAAGAGACTCTTGGTAGAGTAGAGATGATCAGGAATTCAGTTTTGGACATAAAGGATGTGCCCATTTTATCTAATTTTTCAAATTTATTAGCATGAAGATATTTATTTACCTAGTGACAAAGTATCAGACTTGTATGTATTTTTTTCGGATTAGTAAGGTATACATTTATAAGGAATCATATATTTTATCTCTTTATGCCACCCCTTCCCAGTTTCTGCATACCGATTATAGCACACTACAAACACTGTTCTGCATCCTGTTTTACCCCTTAACAGTATGTCTTGGAGGTCATGTCATTTCATACTCAGTAGAGCTCTTCATTCTTTTTAATGGCTGCATAGAATTGCAGTGTATACATATACCTTAATTTATTTAACTGATCCTAGGTTATTGGATATTTAAGTAATTTTCAGGTTGGCATTTTGTACATTGTGAATATATCTGTAAGAAAATTCCTAGAGAAGAGTTACAAAGGGTATGTGAATTAGTAATTTTGATATTGCCAGATTGCTTTCCAGGGAAGTTCCATCAGTTTATACAACTACCAGCAATAGCAGGAAAATACCTATGTCTCTATACCCCATCAGTACAGTGTATCACCTTTTTTGATTTTTATGTTTAAGATATTTTTTCTATGCAGGAATTTTAAATTTTAGTCAAATTTATCAATCTTGCATTATCATATTTGGAAAGACTTTTATACTTAGAATTAAGGGTATACAACCCACAGCCCGTGGGCCACACGCAGCCCAGGATGACTATGGATGCAGCCCAACACAAAATCATAAATTTACCTAAAACCCTTTTTTTGCTCATCAGTTTTCATTAGTGTTTGTGTATTGAACGTGTGGCCCAAGACAACTCTTCTTCCAGTGTGGCCTAGAGATGCCAAAAGATTAGACACCTCTGATAGATCATTTTAAAAAGTTCCCATATTTTCTTCCTGTACTTTAATGGTTTCATTTTTTTTTTTTAATGTTTAAATATTCAGTTCACCTGGAATTTGCCTTGATGTGGTTTCTTGACTTTAAACATCACTAAAGAAGTTGTAGAGATCTGTTTCTGTATTCTGGATTCTGGCTTTTAATAATCTTGTAATTGTTATGGCAATATAGCCATATATGCGAATACTTAGATTTGAGGTTCATTGTTAACAATAATGTGCATATGTCTATATATCAAATAGTCTTGATGATTTCAAGTTTTGGGACAACTCTGATTAGACCTTTTTTTTAACCTGGTGTTTTGGCGATGGGCTTACACTAAAAGGAGAATGTCAGCTCTTTTTGTTTGATATAGTTGTATTCATAGTCATCTCTAAGCTGTGGTTTGTTTGCAAGAATCTCCTTAAACCACTTGGCTATTTTGTGAAGATTTAGTTAAGGTAAATCAGATACTGTAATCTGTAAATCGATTTAACTGGGCTCAGGTAAAGCACAGTGCTTCACAGTATACAGAGTGGTGCAAGATGGAGCCACTGTCATCTGCCACCTGTCACTGCCACAGTCAAGGAAGAATTACCTCATATAGTTTACATAGGGACTAGGGAGGGTGCCAGTGCCAATCCATATACTAAATACTAATAAAGCTGCATTTCTCTCTGACTTTTAGATAGAAAATGAATATAAATAGAAGTCCTAATATTTTTTTCCCACACCTGAGTGTATCTTCTAACGTATCAGCTGGGGTGCACATGCACCACCGTAGAAAACCACCAGTCAGGAAGAATGAATGATCAACATCAACTCTACTATTCTTTAGGAGGCCCCTCAATTAATGTAACCTCTCTCAGCCAATTTATTGGGTGTCAGTAAATTAGGAATTATTTTTTCTGGAAATTTCATGATGTTATGGCTGTGCTGAATAAGGACAAAAACGACTGTCAGGATAAGTGGGGCTAGGATCGACATCCGTCTGTGAATATGGAGCCTTCTAAGAATGCTTGCCTTCTTGATTATGAGTAGTTGGGAACTGCAGTAAGACCTTACTCTGTAAAGGATGACTTTAATAATTGTATCCAGGAAAAGTTTGGAATACTTGCCTTGACTGTACACAAGTTTCAATAAAGATGTTTGACTTTGAGCAATCTAAGCTTCATATACCCTGTGGCTATACACCTTGTAAAAAGCAAATGAAGTGCTGTATAAATTCATTAACTATAAACTTTGAGTTTAGAATAATTATCTCTCTTCTTTATAGCAAGAATTATATAGGGCTATAATCTTTGATTTGTGATGTTAAGATGATGTAATCCATGTGTAAGAAGAATACTTGGCAGGAGGGCATGCGTTCAGCTCTCCAGTAATGTCCAGGCGTTGGGAGCAAGGTAAACAGAAGGGGTAGGTAGGCAGGGGGTGAAGAGGGACATGTTTTTGTGTTATCCTATTAGAAAGCACTAGCTGATCTGTCAAGAAATTATTCCTACCAACCCTGCCTCTTGAGTAAGGAGCTTAATGCACAATGCTATAGATGTGTAAATACTTAGGCATCTGCGTTGCAGTTTAACTTACTCCTTTCTGGGTGCTGAAGGCAAGGAAAGATTAGCTAAAACCTTAGTCAGTGTTCTTGGGCAGATGACAGAGCGCAGAGGCCAAATGAGGCCCAAAACCTGTTGAGATAAATTGTTATTGGAACACAGCCACACCTATTTGTTCATGTGTTTTTTATGGCTGCTTTTGCATAACAGTGATGGAGCTGAGTAGCTGTGACAGAGATTGTATGGCCCACAGAACCAAAAATGTTTATTATTTGTCCCTTTACAGAAAATGTTTGCTGGCTCCCTGGTATAGAGCTAGTGATCTGTAGTAGAATTACCATCCCCAGGGCCTGCCTACTTCTTTCCTAAAACGTTGGCCAGAAATGCCCAGGCTTGTAGTTTATC